GAAGCACAGGTTTGGAAAAAGCAGAAAAGAGCGGCTAGGCTGTAACCCTGTTACTAGCAGCACTGTGGGAGCGTCTTAGGAAAGTAGGAACTCGAACGCCTCCCTAGACCTGGGGGTAGGACTCTGCACGTTACAGTTTGGAAAGTACTGGTGTTTACTGTGTTTATAGCACTCTGCAAATTACTGTGCATTAGAGGAGCATTCTGTTTGACCTGTGGGATAGTGAGTTTGATAGTAGTGAGTTAGAAAAAACTTACCATCAGCTTTTAGCCTTCCTGGAAGAACATGTGAAGTTCAGAGAGGTTTGGATTGTCCAATGCTCAGATTTACAAATTGCATAGATTTTAACAGCACAAAATGCATAAGTCATGCTTGGGAAATGGGCTAAATAGTACAGAAAGCTTGAATGTGCATCTGCAGGCTCTAGAATGCTGATTGAAAATTTAGCATGTATCCCTGACTCTGTTTTGACCAGGGTTCCATGTGAATCAGTCTGGAAGCATAATGTGGGTGGGCCAGAATGGGAAAGTAGCAGCACTCGGAGGTGCACTCTGGGACACTGGGTATATAAGCCTGCCTATACAATTATGGTTTTGCTTATGCAGTGCTTTCATTTGAGTTAATTGGGTAATGCTGAATGTATAAAACAAAGAAAAAGCAAATAATAATCTTTTAAAGATTTATTTGAAAAGAATAAATCTCTCAGAGAGGAAGAGAGTGAGCGAGATAGAGCTTCTATCTGTTGGCTCACTCTCCCAATGGCTATAATAGCTGGATCAGAGCCAGGCTAAAGCCAGGAGTCCAGAGCTTCATCCTGGTGTCCCACATGGGTGGCAGTCATCCAAGAGGTCTTCTGCCTTCCCAGGAAAAGCAGCAAAGTTGGGTCAGCAGCAGAGTAGCCAGGACCCAAACCAGTTGTCTTCAATGGGCTGCCAGTATTACAAGTTGCAGATGAACTGCTGATGCCACTTTGCTGACCTCTAAAGTCATGTTGATTTCCCGTCTTATGTGAAACGCTGGCACCAAAGTTAGGCAGCCCCTATTCTCATCTTGATCCTACTATTAGTGCTATATACCTATCTTTGACCAATACATATCATTGTTCTGTATCTCATTTTTTTCTTATTACAAAATAAACATGCTTCTTAATCATAATTTCATAGCACAGGATACTGTGATGAGATAATTTGTGGGATATTTTTGGGGGGTTCTGAGAAGTATTATTAAAACCTCATAATAATTACATTTAAAATCTTGGCTTTCTGAAACTTTCAAATTTTCAATCATCTAGTGCATGTTAGTCATTTTTCTAATTATAATTACATTCAAAGAGGAAAAACAGTGAGCCATCTGTGGCACTTGTTCCTTTTCCCTGGAGGTAGAGCTGGGGAAGATAATGATTGATTTGAGATGATGTTAGTCCTACTCTGAAGAAGGATGGATGGTGATTTTCTTCTTGTGGCTTTAAGGCCTATCTGCTGATGGGTATGATTTCATTAGACAGAACTACATTGTGTGTATGGTAGTTGTAGAGTAATGGACAAGAGAAGAATGAGGGAATACTTTTCTTCCCTGAGGAAAAGGAACAGAATTAGAGCTATGTGAAATTGTCACAGCCAAAGATGTAAACCAAGGAAAACACCCCCCATATGCCATGGCATTTGGTACATTCCCATAGCTGATTAAACACTGAAATGTCTTTGGCTTCCTATGACTCCAGCCTGTGCATGTGACTGTGTTATGTAGGATTTAATGTTAACCTGTCTGCAGAGGTTAAGCATTGCTATCTGGCCTAATTTCTCAGGATGCACCTTGCATAGCATTTACCCTGCAGGATCACTACTGTCTGTCTACGAGGGACTGTGTCTCTCTCTTGCTGTTAGCAAAACTGAGCATGTCTGTGAGTTTCAAGTGTTCTGCTGAGGTGGTTATGTGTATGTGGGCACATGCACACTTGTACGTGTGCCTGCAAAGAGTGAATGAAGGAGAGATTGTGAGGTGTGGAAGAAGGACAGGGAGAATGAGAGAGGTATAGAGGTTGAGAGTTACTTATGCTGCATGCAGGTTGCTAGAAATAAAGCTTGGTAATACAGGTAATGCTCACTGACAAGGTTTAGCTGTTCCCTAAATTATAAATAAGGGTATGTGTCAACAGCACTGCTTTGTGAGCTGCTTTCTCCAAGTTGTAGTTGCTCCTGATGGAGGTGGTCTTCAATATGAGACCCATGCTGGGTTAGAGGACCCTTTAGAGTTTCCTCTTTTATCTGAATGTTGCCTACTCTCGAACAATCCAGCCAAAAGTCTGACATGTTAATAGTAGTTCATCAAGAGGCTATGCCCTAGCACGTAGTTTACCTGTGCCCTGGGGATTGGTATTCCACCCTGCATCTGTTCCTCCCCTTGTGTTTGGCCTTGGGAGCCCCAAAGTGAATCAGATATAGATCCTGCCCTTGAAAAAACAGGGTGAGCAAATCTATAACTAAAATTCAATGAAAAAAAATTACAAACATCTCCAAAAAAGGCTAGTTGGAGCTTTGAGGTGAGTGGCTGCAGGGCAGGATTTCTGGAAGGCATTGTGGGGCATGCCAGCTGGTTAGAAGCACTTCCTGGAAGAGGTGATGTGTGAAGCTGCCTCTTGGAAGACGGGAAAGCTCACACAGGCACAGTGGCGCTTCTAGATGAAATGAGCTACCGAGACAGCGTCTTGCTTGCTTTGCCCACTGAAGGCGGGTGTTTGTCCGAATGTGTACCATCTCTTTGTGAATCCTCAACACCATGGTTTTCATTGATGGGCAGCTACTAAATGGATCAGAATGAGTTGGTAATTATAGATGCTGCTGAATGTATGATCTCTATTCTTGTAATTACCAAAGTTTTTATTTTTCTAAGCTGATTGCTCCTCTTCTAGAACATCTTAATAGAATGCAAATAGAGGCCAGGAAACTGCAAATCTGGCAACATGTTTTCCTTTGTGTCTGACAATAAATCTCCCACACATCGTGACCCGAGACAACTTTGTTTATCTGCAGAGGCCCACAGTCAATCAACTAAAAATAAATTGGGACCACCATATCCTCTCAGCATTACTGAGAATAGGGGAAAAATTCACGTACTGGGTTTTACATTAGGTTTTGTGATGGCACTACAATGTCATCGTTTCCCTTCTGTTTGCTTGGGAGTAATTTCATCGGCTCCTGGTGATAAATTACCATGTCTTTGGCTCTTTTAACATATCTACTTAACAGGTGAATGTACCCCTACAGAACTGAGTGCAAGGAACACTGACTGAGAGTCTGTTGGCAAGTCCCTCTGCCTTCCTGGCTTCACTCAGCTCATCCATCTAGAGGGCTTGTTACTACCTGCTGTGGAGAAATCTCAGGCTTTGTGTTTCTTGCATATGTGTTGCATGTTTTAAAGCTAAAATGTATTTTAAGACCTATGTTTTAAGTTAATAAGGGATATTTTAAAATATGATCATCTTATTCAGAAGTAGACTAATCTTATGTATTTTTAAAAATAAATGTTAAATTTGAAGCAATCATCCAACAATGAGAAATAATATAAGTGAAAATCCATAGAGTAAAAGAACTGCTTAGAATTTAAATGCCCATTTGTGCATGGCTATAAAACCTGAAACAATCACTAACACACAGTGTATGGATTCAAGAAGTATTTCTTGAATTAGTGAATGCCATATGTATTTTGTGATAACTACTTGCATGAATGAATGAGAGAATGCATGAAATATTGCTTTGTGCTGAAGGGACAGCTATGGTTAAATTAAGATTAACTATGGGCCCAGCATGGTAGACTAGTGGCTAAAGTCCGTGCCTTGCACATGTTGGGATCCCATGTGGTTGCTGATTCTAATCCCGGCAGCCCTACTTCCCATCCAGCTCCCTGCTTGTGGCCTGGGTAAGCAGTCAAAGATGGCCCAAGGCCTTAGGACCCTGCACATGCACAGGAGACAAGCAAAGAAACTCCCAGCTTATAGCTTTGGATCGTTTCTCCTCTTTTCTGTATATCTGACTTTGCAATAAAAATAAATCTTAAGAAAAAAGATTAAATATAACTAAAAAGTTGTGAAATGAACAGGTACACTTAGGATTTTGATTCTCTCTACATCTTATTATAATTTATGTGCTGTATTTTAAAGTAGTATCTACTGAAGCACATACTATACTGATCTGCTTTAATAAAGCTGTGTTATACATCTTGTTCTCAGAAACACCTAACTATGCCACAGTCTCTTGTTTGGGTAGTAAAACCAAATGCCACAGGCTGCTGGCCCTCTGATGACTGCTTATCTCAGCTGAAGATGCATGGAGAAGAGGAAATAGCTGTAACATTCAATCTTTATGTTTTTAAAAATGTATTTTTTTATTTGAAAATCAGAGTAATAAAGAGAGGAGAAACAGAGAGAATAACACCTCCCATCTTCTCTTTCATCCCCATATGAATGCAGTGGCCAGGACTGAACTAGGTGAAGCTAGGAGCCAGAAGTTTCATCCAGTCTCCCACATGAGTGGCAGGAGCACAAGTGCACAGTTAGTCTGGCTTCTGCTGCTTTCTCAGGCTATTAGTAAGGAGCTGGACTGAAAGTGGGGCAGTGGGAACCTGAACTGGCACCCATGTGGGATGCTAGCATCAGATGGTAGCTTTACCTGCACCAACACCTACCTCCAGGTTGCATCTTCTAAATCAGAGCCAGTTCTGTTCCCTTACCCATGCCATCTAGCAAAATGCTGAATCCTCAGCATCAAGCATATAAAAAACCCTGGAAAAGTCCCAAGTGCTCTTTGTGTGAGCTTGCTGGTGGTTTTGTTCTGATAGATCTCAGAGCTTCTTGGCGTGTCTTTCCCCCTTGTTTCTGGTATTTCTATAGCTCGTGGAAACACCAAAATGAGGAATGTGTCTTTCTATGTTTGCAGCCTTTCCACTTGGGTTTCCCTACAGGAGTCACATATCTACAGGCTGTGATTCTGTGTTTGCTCTTTCAGCTCTATGTGGCCACAGAGGCCATCCTCATTGCGCTCGTGGGGGCCACACCAACGTACCACTGGGACCTGGCAGAGCTCCTGCCCAACCAGAGCCACGGCAACCAGTCAATTGGTGGAGACCAGGCCTTCAGAGACTGGCTACTGACCGCCAATGGCAGCGAGATCCACAAGCATGTGCATTTCAGCAGCAGCTTCACTTCCATCGCGTCCGAGGTAACCTCAGGCTCCTTCAGTCATGAGATGAATGCTTTGCCCCAGATGGGACACCCTTGTTGTTCTGTCCTGTAAATTCCAGCCACATCTTCAGACAACTTTCTAGCATATTTGAGCTAAAGGTTTTGATTACCATAGGAGAATATCCTGTGAAATTACATGCTTTTTCCTTCTCACTACACACATTAGAAGCATGAATCTTACAAAACCAGTCAGATGATATAAGATATAAGCTGTAATGATAATGAGCCACAATTTTGATGATGATGTCCTTTACAAAAGTGAATTAACACTTGCCTCTACTTTTATTGTATATGCAAATATTAAAGTGAAAAGAGAAATGTACTGACCCATCTCACATCCTTAGTTTATTTCAAAGTATGGTCATCTGTTGGAACACCCTGTGGGCACCACGTGGCATTGGTGGAAAGCTTTGCTTTCAAAGAGAAAAGATTCAGTCAAGGGGAAGATTCAGCAGGTCCAAAAGGCCACCTAGAGGTAACAAAGCTGAGGGCTGATGCTATCTCAAGGAGTAGTCTGGCAGGGGAGAGCCAGGGCTGCTGCAGAGCAGGAGGGCACTGTCTCCTTTGCCTGTTCCCCAGCAACTACCCAGGTGCTTTTTGTTTGTTCCCCACCTCCTACCCCATGGCCTTATGACCCAATTTGTAGGGTAAGTGCCTGGTGCAGTAGGAGGCCTTGCCAGCTAGCTGTAGTGATCTGTGCCCACTTCCTTTGCCCATCCCACTGTGCTCCCATCACCAATGTGGACCTAGGATCCATCCCTCTTCTGTCTTGTTGAGTGTGTGTGTGTGGGGGGGGGGGGGAGGTGTGGTCTGCATCATGACTGTAGCTAGCCATATCTGTCACTGACAGTTTTGATTGTCACCCTGTGTGTGGAGCATACTAGATCTGAAAAGATGTGCTCAGAGAGGTATTTGCTTAGCCTTTCCTTGGCAGTCTCTCATTGGAAGGGAGAATCACTAGATTGTTTTTATGCCACAGCAGCAATTCTAATACCAGTCTGGTCACATCACCCCTTGCCCAGAACTCACCCCAGGAATTCTCCCAGTGTACTCAGAACACAGGTATGCATCTGAGTGTGGTGTGGAGGGCACAGCAGCCTTTGCATTTCATTGCTTGATCCAGCCTGGAGATGCCTAATCTAGGGATGCCCTTGGAGTTCATCCTGAATCTGTTAACCTCACTCGGCCACACCCTGGGAAAATCTTGACCTGCCCCTGAGACTCACTTCCAGTGTCACCTTCCCAGTTTGCTCCCCACAAGTCAACACACTGCAACCTCAGACTGTTATTGTTTGAGGCTCAGCTCTATTTTTGAGAAGCTCTTTAGGCAATAACTGCATTTTGGTCAGTTTTGTATTTCCAGGCCCACTAACAACAGTACTACCTACCATTCCTGACCTGTTAAAATAATGAGTGGTACTTATAAAATTTTATAGCTTTTGTTATTTAATCCTCCAAGTATTTCTCTGAGCCCAGCATTAATTTTCTCCATTGTACAGATAAGAAATTGGGACTCCTTGAGGCTAGGAGTTCAATGTGTGCAGAGCTTGGATTTGAACCCAAATTTGTCTTAAATCTGAAAAAAATGTGCTGTTAATTATTTCACTTTTTAGGTTTGTGTCCAATTTAAAAGTTGGCATGAAAATGTCTTAGGTTGATTTTGTAGGTAATGGTAGCAGAAGAATTTAATTTATCTTTTTGCAAAATTGGGAAATAATGCCAAGTGGATATCACAAAAATAGGGCTAAGAATGACTAGGCTCTTATGAATGTTTTGCTGCTTTGAATTTTTTTCCTCTATTTTTTCTGAAGCCATTGGAAAATTGTGCTTGCTTCAATATGTGTTTCTGAAAAACTTCAATATGAGTTTCCTAAAAATAAGGATAATCTTTTAGAAGACATTGTTGCAATGATCAGATTAGGAAATCTCACATTGATACGGTGCAGTGGTTTTATTAAACCACACCCGACTTGCTGTACCATCCATCTGCAGACACTTTTGTCACATCCAGTGTTGTCTATGATAGAGTGTTTTTTTTTTCCCTCCAAGTGTTGTATCTAGTTCAGGATCGCATATTACGTTTAGCTGTCAAAGCTTTTCAGTTGGCCTTTATCTTTTATGACACTGATCCTTTATAAGGAATTCTGGGGTAGACGTCTAGCCTAGAGATTAATATGTCAGTTGAGATATCTTGAATGAAGAATTAAACCCAGGCACTTCAATCTAGGATGTTAGATGATGACTTAAGTAGGTGGGAATTCTCCACCCAGTCCTAGCTGTTGTGGGAACTGGGGAGTGAACCAGTGGTTAGATGCTTTTCTCTGTCTCTATCTTTGTCTCTCTGTGTCTGCCTTTTAAATAAACATAGACAAAAATTTTGAAGATTTATATTGCAGAGTTTATTATTTTTTATAGGATCTGAAATTATAGTCCCTCTTTTATTTCCTTTTGGGAGGTGGGCATGGGGGAGAAGTATTATGTTTAGTTTCCCAGTGCTTAAGGACTTTCCTGTTAGATTTCATTTGTTGATTTCCGGTTTGATTCTGTATGGTCATAGAATGTACTGTGTATGATTCCAGCTCTTATAAACTTATTATTGAGCTTTCTTTCATGTTGCAGGATGTGTCATTGCTTGTGAAGTTAGTGTTCTCAGTCTATGGCTAGATCAGGTGCTAAAATCCACACTGCTAATCTCTATTTGATATACCACTTACTGTGGTTATTTACGTGTTAGGATTTGCATCTTCCTGTTTAAATTTTTGGTTTTTGTTTTCTGTGCTTTTTTTCTTCCCTATTTTCCTTGCCTTCTTAAAGGCAGAATGCTAAAATTCCATTTTGACTTATGTACAGGGTTTTTGCAGTATCTTCTTGTATGATTTTTTTGTTTAGAGATTACTTTGGTATTATATAAATTGTCACAGTCTACTGTTTTTTTTTCCAGATAATGGTTCAACATTTAAAAACTCCATTTCACTCTGCCTTCCATGGCTCATTGTTGTCTTCACTGTTTTCCTACATGTTCTTAGACTAAGTTACATTGTACAGTGTTACAGTGTAACATAAAAAGGAAAGTCTAGTGCATTTACCCCACATTTTCACTTACAGTATGTTTTTTAAATTATTATTCTTGATAAAAAGGGTTTTCCTAAAAATATGTTTTTGGGGCCGGTGTTGTGGTGCAGTGGGTTAAGATGCTATCTGCAGTGTTGGCATTCTGAATCAGTATCATTTCAAATCTAGGCTATTGTGCTTCTCATCCAGTTCCCTGCTAATGCACCACATCAGGTGATCAGATAAAAACCCCAGTTGTCTATGGGCTGTCTAAGGTGCTGTTATCACATCTCTACTCACAGCCAGCATCAAAGTCATGGAGTTTTATAAGTGGCTTTGGAAAAAGGAGGAGTTTTAGCTTAAGGCATCACCATGTTTAATTATCTCATAAATTCATGAAAGGGTAAGAAAAGCCTAAAATATACTGAGTTAATCCATGAGCCTTGGATGCCGTTCATTTCACCAGCGATAGCCTGACGTTGACATTCGTGATTGGTAGCCAGCACTCCACCATTCTAGTCAAGAATAAGCAAAGCACCCTTTGTTGAGAAAGACAAGGATTTCAGCAGGCCTTGTAGCAGCTCCCTGTGGAGAAAGGGCTTTCTAAAGAGAAGGCAGCTGGCTGGTGCTGGACAAATGCAGCCTTGATGAGATTGCTTGTGGTGCCAGGCTGTTTATGCAAAGTATCATGTTGGATGTGCAGAGCGATTTAAAGTGAGTTAGATCGCATAACACCAGTGTTCAGCATGGCAACCACTCTACATGATTTAGTGCAACCAAATGCAATCAGTACTAGTGCAATGTATAGTTAGCAGCCCTTCCAGATGTGGTGAGAAGGATGCTGTAATTAACAAGTGTTTGTTGCATTATTGCTACTAGCCTTATGCTCCGGTAGGCCTGGTGTAGGAGGAAGAGCAGCAGAGACTGAGACTCTCTGGTCCCCACTGTTTCCTCTGGCAGACATCTAGGAGGCTCCCAGCAAGCACTGCTGGGCTGGAAGCTCAGGAGGGATGGAAAGGTGGGTTGACAAATGACATCCCAGGAGCTGTTGTTCCCAGGATAGAGTTGACAGATGCAGGAGAAATGGGACTAAACAAACTCCCACTCTGCTGAAGAGCTTTAAAGCAGCTTTGGGAAGGGAAGGATGCAGTCTCACCTAGCTCCTGTGTTACTACATGTGATGGTAGCTACATGTTTTCTTTAGTACTTGCATTCTGGTCCTCTGGAGTGTGCCTGGAAGTGCAGTCTTTCTGGCTCACCCGTCTTTGTCAGTGTGTCATCTCACTCTATGCTATTCCCCTTCTGTATTTATCTCCCTCTCTATCTCTTATCATTCTTTATTTTTATCTGAGTCTGTTGATCCCCTCCCTCATCATTTGTGGCTCCCTGTGTCTGCTTGCCTCCTTGTTTGTTTCTAGGTTAATCTCACTGAGTGTTTTGCTTTTCCTCCTCTCTGGCATGTCTGTCTCTGTCTCTTGCCCCCTTCCCTTCCTTTTCTTGTGTTATATTTGTCCCATTCTCTTACCAGGGTGTATCCACCAAGACGCACAGACCTGAGTATGTGTGAAGTGACCAGTGTTGATGTAGATGTGTAACTAGAGGTTTATATGTACATGGCACTTCATTCCCAGAGTGCAGAGGCAGGCTGCATTCCTCACCCTGTCTGGATGACAGCTCTCCATGCACAGGTGCATATCCAAGTCCACGTCTCCTTGCTCAGAGTATGAGTTACCTGAAATGCAATTAGAATGTAATTTATTTCTGTGTAAAACATCTTGAAATAAATGAATATGTTTCGCATAAAGCATTTTCTGTGACCTTTTTGAAGACTCCTCAAAGTCATCTTTTGTTCCTAAGCCATTGCTCCAAGATAGGCCCAGAACTTCAGGAGATGAGGAATTTAAAGAATTGCAATGGGGACAGGAG